TACTATATGCTGCCTCCTCATTTGACCCCCAGCGGTAAACAAAGGGCTAATTCAACTAGAGTTTAAATCATTACGATAAGTTCCCTTGTTATATAAGTGTTTTTGTTTGTTTGTTTGTTTTTCTTGTTGCATAACATGCCAGTTCATCTTTCACAGTACCACAACTGGCCGACCACAGCTCACTGGGCGGGTTCCAGGATGTGCATCAGTGTACACAGATATTTTACAGTGGTTGACAGAAGTGTGCCAAACATAAAACAGATCTGGAACAAAAATGCCTGTTTCATGCGGGTGCTGAATAATGTGAAATTTGGAACATGATGAATCCTTGCAACATGTGCTTTTTTATTGAATGTTACAGATTTAGAAATGATTATAAAGCTATCCTGTAACGTTCATTAACACAACCACATGCTACAACTACGCTGGGTTTAACACGAGTTACATGTATGTTTACATGTGTTTTATAACACAGCATTGCCCAACACATTGAATGTAATAGCCTATAGATATCACATGATGGATGACTGGATAATATTTCTTATCATTTAAAAAAGTTCAACAGCCCAACATTTCAGCAAGGTTAGACTGCACAGCCTCAGAAAATAGAATAAATTATACTATCCAGTTATCTACCATAATATTACCTATAGAAACTATACTTCAAAATACATTTGCAACATTCAGCAGAAACATTGTACGTTTTTATAGGTACATTTTCCCATGTGATTATTCATACACATATATATATTTTTAAGGGGGTACTTTCAAATGCTCAATAATATCCTATGCCTAGAAGCTTAGATTGAAAAATAACATCCAGTTCGGTAAAGTGCTGCAGTCTGATGGCTACCACATCTTTTTGGCCTGGAGTAATACACACATTAGCCATGACAGTTACCTCAAGCTTTGACAATTACTTCTTGCTTTGATCCATCAAGGAGGGCGTTTCTAACGATAAATATATTAGTGTGTTTGTTAAACAGGAAAACTCCACGGTCATTTTCATAAAACAGTTCTAAAAAATTTTGTTTGAAGGGAAGAAGCCATTTAGAGCAAACCATTACATGTAGTATATAAAAATTGGCACGTTAGAAGCAGATGATTAAACCAAAGCTATTACTTCCTTGAGCCCTCTATGCCTTCCTGTCTGCCCCTCAATAACTGGCTGCTCGTGTGCTGCTTAATTCACAGAGACAGGTAATCCACGTCCCCTTGATCAGGGGCACCGTAGACTCAATGAGCTGAGTCCAGCAGACTGTACAAGGCCACAGAATCAATGCCACATTGGTGTGCAGAGAGCCAGGACGTGGAAGGAAACGGATTGAAAAAGAACGCACATCTATGTTCGCCCCAAAAGATATGGCTCAGGGAAGTTCCATCCTTGGAGTTTAAAGTCACTCAAGTTTGGCTTTATATATTTCACACACGTCACCAAAGGATGTTAGAACTCAATTTCCATGCAAAGTAAAGAACCAGGTCATCCCAAAGTCAAGACCACTCATTATTTGGTTCCCCGTGTCCTAGTCTTTTCTCGCCAGAAGTCATGATGAATGGAAACACGCATGCTCCTCATCTCTTCTCTACTTCCAGCCTCAATTCTGGTCCAGGATCAGGCCCCGAAGATGCTGTGGTGTCCTGTTCCGAGGCCAAAGATGAATGGTCTCATCCCCTCCTCGGGTCCTTCTACAGACCCCTCAGAAAGCCTTCCGGCTTTGTACACGTGCTCACGACTTAGACTCATCAAAATGCTAGAACAGGAGTATATCACACCAACAACCATCTCATCTAAGGAGCGAAAGCAGAGGACTCGTAGCTCAGACTCTGATGCTGAGACTTGACCTTCCTGAGAATCACAGAGAAATGGTCCCCGAATGTCAAGTGCCTATCCCAAATAGATTGATGATGACCAATGTTGTTCCTTGTCCTCCACATAAGTCCACTTGGAACCAGGGGATCGTGACTAATTGAACAGTTCAAATGTCAGCTTTGGATGTATGAGGGTAAGTCAGAGAACACTGCTATGAAATCATCAAAGTCTTTATTAAACCAAAGATACCCAAACGAGAAGCCATTCTTTTCTTGGACATATCCTCCATCTAAGTCTATACACTTCTGCGGGGGGTGCTTCTATCTCTCCAGTCCTTTCTTGGAGAATTCGATGGTCTTTCATGTAGACCAGGACAAAGCAGTTATTTTGGCATCTTTAAGGAACAGAAATTGTGTTCCTTTGAAATAGCCTTTGAGTTTTGGCAACAACAACAAAAATCTGAAGGGGCAAGATCGTGGCTGTGGGGTGGACAAAGTAAGGTCTCCCTGTGAAATTCTCCTCGGAAGGCCCTTGTTTCCCCTCTAACTACGAGGAGGGGCATTGTCAGGATGGGGAAATAATTTCTAGGTGTAATTTTTCTGGTCTTTTCCTTACCACTATTAGTTTTTAACTTTCTTAAGACTTGTTCTTGAGAAGCCCCGACGTTCTTTGAGAAAACCTATCCAGTTTACTTCTTTGGCATCCCCCTGTCACCATATCCTTCTGAGCTAGCCTGCCTGCCTTGAATTTTACTGACCCAGTGGATCCTTTGGAAGCCTCTGGTTTGACTGGAATGTTTTTTTTTTCTTCCTTGAAGGCACCCTGAGACTAAGCTAAGGAAGAGCAGTGAATTGCTGAGAGAACTTGACTGTAGCCATTCACTGATCACGGAGGCATGTCTAAACGTTTTGTTTGGAATGAGCCTGTGCATGTGATGAACTGGTACCCCAGTAGCAATACTTTTTGATTTACCCTTGTACATGTGAACTTCCAGCGCCCGCCAGCTCCCTAGGGGTGTGGGTGTGTGTGTGTGTGTTTGTGTGTGTGTGTAGCATCAAGGCTTTCATCCGATTCTTTCCTAAGGATTCATGACTCGAGGAAGTCTCACAGCGAATATGTCTTTGCTGAGTGGAACCAGTCATGTGAGCCCAACAAAAAATGCAAGTATCTCCAGAGAAACGAAACTAAATGAGTGGCAATCGATAAGGTACTTGCTTGAGTGTTTCTGATTCACCTGAAAAAAGGAATCCTTCAGTTCCTTACATACGTGGCATCAGCCCTCTTTCTAGAGCTGAAAAGTTTCATCAGAAAATTTTTTCTTTCCAATATTTAGAGGCTAGATGTTTTGTCCTTGCACTTCCTTGCAGTTACAAAATGAGATGAAGTTGGAGTTCACAACTAAACAAAAGAGCCTAGGATCTTGGGCCAGGGTCAGGAAATTGTTTTTTAAAAGCCTTCGTTCATGTTTCATAGCCGAGGGTTCTAAATAGGATCCTGAAATTTGGGGTCAAGATTTGTTTCTCCAACTTCAAATCCAGATTCTGATCTAGAAGTGATGCCTATGTTCTAGAGTCTATTAATACTAACTGGCTGGCAATTGTATGTTTGTTCAGAGTGCAACCACTTTGTACAGGAGGAGAAAATATAACTAGACAAGATATCGTAGTCATGAGTGTTCTCAGATAAAAAGGGGCAGGGGGCACGTAGAGGGTAGTTTGGACAATTCTAGTTAGGAAAGGTTAAGGTTAAAGGGGTCAAAAAATACCCCCAATCCAACATTTGGTCTAATAATATAATGAACTCTTTCAGTGGAACCCCTTGGATATTAAAAAATCCTAGTTATACCTCAAGGTAATAGAAAAATCCAAGCCTCTTAAAGAAAGCTCTTTATGTCAGTTTATATACGATATATAAACATGTCTCTCTGTGTAAATACCTATTTATATATTTAAGCAACACGTCTTTATATTGTTTATCTGCTTTCTATTTTGGTCTACTGTATCTTTTATTATAGCTCTGCATATAAGAAAAATATTCATGGGATGTTTGCAACTGATGGCTTTGGGTTGATACCAAACTCCCAGTCAGTTCTAAAGTTATTTATGGTTTTGAAACTTTCCTTAAAAAGCACTTTGGAACGTTGCCATAAAAAAGATATCATCCCTGGAAAAGCTTCAATTAAATTTATGCTGAGCTCTGATTAGATGGCAAAATTCTAGGTATGAAAATATCCACATTTAACCACAGATTCATGTATAAAATGGTCATGTGGTGGGTGGTGTGAACGATTGGCAGTTACATCTTGGCGGTGTTGAGCAGACGTGATGGAGTCATGCAAATGATGGTGATCACACAGCAGCAAAACACGGGACACGAATGATGGGACTGTCACAATATCCAGATAGCAATTTTAAGTCAGTACTGCCCACTGCTTTTCGTTTGTTTGTTCCCGGTTGTTGTTTACCTTCAGTTTCACATCACAGACTCAGTGAATGCATTCGGTGATGTCAAGTGAGATACAAAATAAATTCAAAAATATAAAATTACTTAATTACATTCACCCTGAGCGCACTCCACCCTACTTGAATGCCCACTGCGCAGAATGTATAATACATCACTTGATATTTGTTTGTTTGTTTCTTTAACATCACTTCATCTTTCATTTTGGATCGCAATACAAAAAGGCATTTTCTTTTCCCTTTTTCTTCTTCCCAAAAGATAAACAGTTGTGGCACCAGAAGTGAGTTGAGAAGAGACAGGTGAGCCGGGACCGTTACCTTGTTTTGTCTTTACAATGATCAATTACAGAAGTGTTGGCAAGAACAGGATGTGGGACGTTAGGAGAACTGCTTGCTGCCGGCTTAGACTGAATGAAAAGGATGTTCTTCGTCAGTCGCCAATGTGAAAAGAAAACAGAATGGAAGTTTAGAATAGCTCATTTGTATGCTGGCTAGCTTATTTCAGTCTGCATTGTCAGCCCTGCATCCTACACCTCTCGGTCATGGTCAGAAATTAAAAGATGCCTCCTGGCAGGGAGGGTATTGGAAGCCCCCTCAGTCCCCGGGACGCGTGGCGTTTTGAAGTGACCAGTGGCACGCATTCATCTCTAACGATTCTTCTCCTCTTCCTTCCCCCTCCTCCCTCCCCAGCAAGAGTGCACACCAACTGACCCCCACCCCCACCCCCACGCCTTTGGGCATCTTGGGTCAAACGCTCTGCTTTCTGGGCCTGTGGCCCAGAAGTCACCTTTGTGTTAGGAGGCACGCGAGATTGGCCGTGACTCTCGGCGACCCAGCTGTGTGAGGGGTGGGTTTGGGTGGGGGACTGCGCCCCACTGGGTTTTTGCGGGGCGGGGTGGGGTGTTTCAGAAATAGATGAGCAGGCCTGTCTTCCAGGGGTCCCTTGGTGGAGTTGAATCCCTAACCTTCCTGTGACAGTGGAGTCCCCATTGTACTAGCCAGGGACCTAAGGGTGAGGTGGGCACCTCCCGAGGCCTCGCTCGCTGGTTCGGCTAAGTCTAACGCAGGTTCCACTCGAGGAGGGCAGTGGGGGAGTCCAGGGAGGGTTCAGGGCTGGGTGCCTGAGGCTCCTGCAACGATGCCCAGCGAGGAGGCTTAGGTGTGCTGGCTTTCAAAGCTGTGGAAAGCAGACGTTCTGGACAACCTCCGCATGGACACGTTGTCCCCTCGGCCCTCGGGCTTGGAGGACTTGCTCCTCTGGAAGGGGGCTCGCAGGCTTCCTGTGTTCCGCTGCCGGTCCAGTTTGTCGCTGATGGAGAAGCTCTTCCTGGTGTGCGCATAGGATGCGTCGCCCGCATCCTCCGCCGAGTAGCTGTTGGCGCGCTCGGTCCTGGGCACTGGGATGCGGTTGGACGGGGCGCGCTCGGCGTTCTCGCTCCCCTGGGAGGACGGGGCGACCCTGCGGCCTTTGGCTTCGCTGTCCTCGCTGTCCGACCCGGGGTGACTCAGTTCGGCTTCTCTCTCTGGGTGACAGCAAGCTAAGTCCTGCACTCTGTCCCGGACCCCTCCGGGGAAGGTGGCTCTGTCGGCGACGGCCTGCGGGGCGCTGACGCACCGGGTGTCGATGCAGTCGGTGATGCTGGTGTACTCGGCCGTTTTCACGGGCATCCCGAAGGCGGCACCGTAGCCCCGCGTGGGCGCAGACACGAAGCTGTGCGACTTCACCATGGGGGGCTCGTCCAGGAGGAAGGGCGCGGGGCCCAGGTAGCGGCTGCTCTTAGAGCGCTCCAGGGCGGGGTACATGGGGGGCTCGATGTCCCAGGGGTTGGGGCATTCCGGGAGGTGGGGATAGTCGGATGACAAGGATCGCGTGTCCACGGAGGGGATGTCCTCAAAATCGATGCTGGGGCCTGGCGCTCTCTCGGTGGGTGCGAGGGTGGCCGCGTAGGCACCGCTTGGAGGAGCTGGGCAGGGGGCCGGGGTCGCAAAGCTGGGCTCGGCCAACCCGAGGATGTCCATGGAATGTTCCAGAGGGTCCACCGGGTCTATGTCGCAGTGGAACTCGTCCATGGCGGAGACGTAGATGTCGATGCACGACGACGGCCTTCTGGAGTCGGGGACGATGGCCAAGGTGTTGGCAGGGGCTGTAGGAGGTTTGGATTCTTTGGACACGGAGTGGGAACTAGTGGCCCGGTGCAGGCTCAGGGACCTTTCTTTAAAAATACTCTCCAACTTTTCTACCCCACCTTTGTCTTTCACATGGACCGAATAGAACGAATGGCTTCGCATACGGGGCATTAAGGTTGGAGAAGTTGGGGACACGGCCTCCTCACCTGCAGGGTCTATACTCTCTTGGAGCTTGAAGGTGTTCCCCTCCTGGCTATTGAAGCTGCTCTGGCGCACGATGTACGCCGCGTCCGTGCAGTCCGAGGAGGTCCGGGAGCGGATTTTATTGGACTCGGCCCGCTCCAGCCCCGTCAGGCGTTCCAAGGCAGTGGCCATGCGACCTATGAGGTCCTCGAGCTGCGCGAGCCGGATGTCCACTGTCTGGAGCGAGGCCTTCATACAGTGCTCCCTCTCATTCACTTCCTCCAGCCGCATGGACATGTTCTCCACCCTGGGCAAGAGAAGGAGAGAGAGCCCGTGTCACCCTGGGCAAGGGAGAGAGAGAGCCCGCGTCACCCTGTGGAAGGGAGGGAGAGAGAGCCCCTGTCAGCCAGGGCAAGAGAGGAAGAGAGAACCCGTTTCACCCTGGGCAAGAGAGGAAGAGAGAGCCCTCGTCACCCTGGGCCAGGCTCCTCGCAGGATGGAAGGGATCACGGCTGTGTTGTGTCTGAGATGGGCATCATCAGCACTCCCTTACCAGAGGAAAATGCGGGGTTGTGGGTAGAGAGAGGAGGGTTGGGGGCAGAGAAAGGCGCTAATGCTGCCTTTGAGAATCACAGATCCCCAATACTTTTTTCTTTTCTTTCAGCTGGAAGAGGCTTTAGAAATGATCCCATCTGAGTACTCCCTCAATGCAAGAACACTTTGTTCTATTAAACTGGCATTCCATGATGCTCACCTTCCAGGCACAATCGCTGAAGACAAAGCGGGTGCATAAGCAAATGCAGTGAAGAAAGCTGACGGAGCTCATCTATCAAAAAAGATAGCATCTAGCGTCTTAAAGACTTGAAGATAAACAAGCAGCCATCTAGCTCAGAAGCAACAAAGCCTACATGGAGGAAGCACACCAGCTTGATCACAAGGTATCAAAGGGATAAGGTATCAGGTATCATCAGAACAAAAAAATCACATCATTGTGAACAAGGGGGAGTGTAGAGTGGGAACCCAAAGCCCATCTGTAGGCCACTGGACACCCCGTTACAGAAGGGTTGCGGGGAGGAGATGAGCCAGTCAGGGTGCACTGTAGCAACAATGAAACATACAACTTTCCTCTAGTTCCTAAATGCTCCCCCACCACCCACTATCACTATCCCAATTCTACCTTACAAATCTGGCTAGACCAGAGGATGTACACTGGTACAGATAGGAACTGGAAACACAGGGAATCCAGGGCGGATGATCCCTTCAGGACCAGTGGTGTCAGTGGTGATACTGGGAGGGTGGAGGGAAGGTGAGTTGGAAAGGGGGAACCGATTACAAGGATCTACATATAACCTTCCTCCTGAGAGATGGACAACAGAAAAGTGGGTGAAGGGAGGGAGATGTCGGACAGTGTAACATATGACAAAATAATAATTTATAAATTATGAAGGGTTCAGAGGGAGGGGGGAGAGGGGAGGGAGCGGGTAAAATGAGGAGCTGTTGCCAGGGGTTTAAGTGGAGAGCAAATGTTTTGAGAATGATGAGGGCAATGAATGTACAAATGTGCTTTACACAATTGATGTGTGTATGGATTGTGATAAGAGTTGTATGTGTCCCTAATAAAATAATTGGAAAAAATTTTTTTCCACCTGAAAATAAATAAATAAATGATCCCATCTGGAAGTTTTCAGCTGCCGATCCCATTTATCTACAAGGGAGCTGAGTGCATGATGTCAATTAAAAACTCAACTTAGAATCGAGTCAGTGGGTGACCCCATGTGGCATGACCCCATGTGCTCTGCAGGAATCTCAGTGGCTGATTGTTTCTTCTAAAGTATCTTTGCCTCAATTCCAACCTCTAACCTTTCCATTGGCAGGCCAGGACATTTACCATCCACATCACACACACAATTGCAGTAATCAAATGGAGCTTTGAAATGGATTGGGGCCCAAGTCCTGCATCCTCACTGCCTCCATAGCTTAGCTACGACTTGGAGCAGGGCTCAGTGACCTCAGGCAAGTATCTAAGTGTTGGCTGAACAGGGTCGCTGACAAAAGAAGTTGGGCGTCTTTGGGTAATAACTTCACCTAGAAAGTTTCCGCAAAATTTCAGACGGTAGATATTTTCAATGCAATGCATATGTACAATTTGTATCTCACGCACTGAAGGTCTTTTCTTTCACATTTGCACAACAGCCTCTATTTCTTTCTCCCATGATAATCTTTTTTAGAATTTAGTGCCTGTAAAGGCATGGTTCAGTGGTTATGTGTTGGGCTACTAACCATAAGGTCAGCAGTTTGAAACCACCAGCCACTGTGGAAGAGGAAGAGGAGGCTTTCTACTCCCGTAAAGGGTTACCGTCTTGGAAACACACGGGTATTATTTCTATCTCATCCTACAGGGTTTCTGTGAGTCAGAGTTGACTCATTGACAGTGTGTTTGCTTTGGTTTTGAAAGGCATTAGTAAAGGATCCTGGTGACACAGTTAAACAATCGCCAGCTAAGAGAAAGGGCTGTGGTTCAAACCCACTCTGTGGGAGAAAAGATCTCGTGATTTGCAGTCGTGAAGAGTAAGGCTGAGGAGCCCAATGGGGCAGCTCTATTCTGTCCTATAAAGACTCAGACAAGCTCCTATAAAGACAGAGGCTTTAGAGGACAGAGTAGACGGTACCTAACAACAAACAACACACCAACAAAGATATTGATAAGGTCTGTTAATTGAGGCACCTCCAGTTGATGTAATCTAATTCAATCCTCTCATCCATGAAGGAGGAACAAATAAGAGATTTTACCAAGACAACTTAAAGCCTAGGAAAGAATCTTGGCCTCTTTTCATAAGCCTGACTTAGAAGGAGAATGCCATTCTTACATGCCCTCATGAAGAGATCACAGAATATAAGGGTGCTATGGCAAAGTTTGATGAAGAAATCAGAAATATAGAATCTGGGGTCTTAAAGGCTTGTCTTAATACAAGCGGTCATCTAAGTGAGGTGTCAAATAAATTCATATGGAAGAAGCACACTAGGCTGTGTGATCTAAGGATTGTAAATAATAAAATTTAAGACTGGAGGAGGGAAAAGTATAAGAGCTTAAATTCTGAGTACGCCATTTGCAGAAGGCTATGGATGACAGTGAAAGCCGAAAATCCATTTGCAGGGCTTCCACATGGATTAAGTGTCCTGTAAATTCCATCTGACCATAGGCCAGGGCTGTGAATAGGCTTGTTATCAAAGTGTATTGGAAAGTTGGTGATTCCAGACATGGTTTGGTTAAAATTTAGCACCTTATCATTTGATTTCCCTTTTGACTAATTTTGAATCTGTTCTAGTTTTTAATAATTTCTGCTTTCTTTCTAGTAGAGGTTTTCCTCAGTTTTATTTTGTTATTATTATTTGGTTTTCTTTTTGTTTTCTATCGGGACAGCACCTAGATTAAAAGTTTCTTAGAGGTATGGCAGGGGAGGTTGGGAGAATGGGGAGTTAATGACGAAGAGTACAAGGAAGAAGAAAAGGTTCTAAAATAGATTGTGGCGATGATCACACAGCTCTTCTTACTATGATTCAACTACTGGATTGTTCGATATGTGAATTGTATATCCACAAAGCTGTAAAGAAAAGGAGGTCATGATTAATTTGAGGTGAATCCTGTGGCATCTAGCAATAAGTACATGATGTTATTCTTTTCTTTCTTTCTCACTTTCCCACCCCTTCTCTCTGGGTAACTGGCATTGACGTCTCTGAGTGGTGTGAATGGTCCGGAGTTGGCATTATATCTGAGCAGTAGGTAATGTGTCCACATGGCATAATTTTCTGGGAAACACATATTGTCCCTTTAATCTACCAATTTCTCAAGGCCTGAGAGAGAGAGAGAGAGATCTTTGGATTTTCAGCTTCTTGCTCTATTTGCCAGAAAATCGCTTCCCATCATATCATTGTAAAAGTGGCCTCTTTTGCAGCGATAGATGTGTATAAAATCTGTGCATGGCTTTGAACTTCATTAATCTTGGCTGGTGAAGTACAGAGATAAACATTTGATGCCATGTGCAGGTAGGTAAGTCTATGATCCAGACTGCATTCTTTGGAGAAATAAAGGATCAGGGAAAATGCCACTTAGGTAATTTCTCCTGAGCCACTAGGAAATATATGAATTGGATAAGCAGACAAAATGCCATATCATAAAAGGTAGAGGCGACTACCTTCAATCTTAGCACCTTGAGTCATATTGGCAAAAGTCATCCATGTGTTATGTCTTTTTACACTATCTATAATTTGGTCCAGCCAGCTCTACACCTCAAATACTTAAACTTTAAAACCACACAGGCTTTTCTACCACTCTGGGTATTCTTTAGAACAGGAATTCCCAAATGCAATATTTTGGATGTGTCAGTCTGCGATGGAATTAATTATTTTTTAATGAGTCCATAACAAAATAAGAAAAAATGAGAAAATTGAAGCGCACTTTCCTAAAGCTGGATTTATTAAATTCAATGGGTTTTCTTCTCTATATTTTGGAGATTTTTTCACAGCCTTAATGGCCTGCAGAGCTGTTTGGTTAATGATATCGAAAGTGTCCAACCACTGGCATAGAATAATCTTAGCCGCTCCCACGCAAAGAGATTTGGAACCAAACCCTGATCGTGAACACAGCTTATCCACAAGTCGTTTGCTGTCATGTATTAAGGCTGTCTTGAGCACCCGCATACAGCAGGCACTGGCATGGTTTCTGGTGTTCTCGGGTGGTGTCAACAATTCATGTGCTCAGTGGCTAACCAAAAGGTTGGAAGTTCAAATCAACCCGGACGGAGGTGCCTTGGAAGGAAGGAGTGGTGATCTACCTCAGAAACAAACTAGCCAGTGGAGACTCTATGGAGCACATTCTACTCTGCCCACACGGGGTTTCCCTAACTTGGAGCGGCCTCAAAGGCAACTGGCAAAGTGGGAGGACCGCTTCCACTCCTCTCTGGAAGCTACTCAATGGAATCAATGCTCCTGGAAGCAGCAGGCAGGAGGGCAAACAACTTATTGAATTGGGCAAATCTGCTGCACAAGACCTCTTTAGAGAAAAAAGCAAAGATATGAATTGGAGGACTAATATGCTCCTGGCTTGAGCCAGGGTATTTTAAATGGCTTCACATGCATGTGGAACTTGGACATCCAATCAGGAAGCCCGCAGAAGCATGGATGTGTTTCGATGGTCAAAGTACCATCAACTGCCGAAAGGACAAACAAATCTGTCTCAGAAGCAGTATGACCGGAGTGCTCCTTAGAGGTAACGATGGTGAGACTTTGTCTTACATAGTCTGGACCTGTTGTCAGGAGAGACCAGTCCCTGGAGAAGGACATCATGCCTGGGAAAGTGGAGGGACAATCTGTCTCAGAAGCAGTATGACCAGAGGGCTCCTTAGAGGTAACGATGGTGAGACTTTGTCTTACATAGTCTGGACCTGTTGTCAGGAGAGACCAGTCACTGGAGAAGGACATCATGCCTGGGAAAGTGGAGGGACAGCGAAAAAGAAGGTCCTCAATGAGATGGAGTGACACTGTGGCTGTCACAATGGGCTGAAGCATGGGAGCCATTGTGCGGATGGGGCAGGACCGAGCAGTGTGTGGTTCTGTTGTGCACGTGGTCAGTAGGAGTCTGAACAGACTCAAGAGCACCCAGCAAGCACCCCCACAACAAGCTGCAAGATTCTCAGGGATCCAGCTGGACCCCAAACCCATCAAGGAGCCTGAAGTTTGTTTGGTTGGGTCTGTCTTGGTTTGAGTCTGACCTGGAACTTTCCAGATTCTGGCCAGTAACTCTAACGGCATCTTAGAGTTAACTCATCAACCTAGAGTCTAACAGGGCATCTACTGTACCCTGCTGGAGAATGTTAGCAACTATATGTTGGGATTTTTTTCCCCCGTCTGCCTGATTTTGCACATAACTTCAGATAATATTCTGTTCCCTTGTAACCGTGATGAGTTCTTGGACAAGAACAATTCACACAAGGGGTCTCTGTTTTGTGACTGTGCAGATTTATTTGATAAAAGCATGCCATGGCTTAAACCAGGCATGGGGACATCTTTTGTTTTCTATTTTTTTTTCTGCCAAGGGCCAGCTGGATATTTATAACATCATTTGCACTCCATACAAAATGATCAACCTAAAAATTAGCCTGCTATATTTGGTCAAACATTTAATTAACGCACCCCTAATTAACTCACATAACCCTAATGTGATGGTTGGAACGGATTCCCTTCAGCGAGGTGTGGGATGTTAGTGGGTATTGAGGGTTTTGAGGGCTGTATGTGGCCAGTGGGCCAGCTGTTCCCCACCCCTGGCTAAAGCCATCCCCTGGGGACCCGAGGCTGTGGACCATACCGTTCTGAAGTCACACGTATTCTCTCATCATTAGATGAGTTGAAGCGATCGTCCTTTTCCCGGAAATATTCTTCGATGCACTGCTCTTCGAAGTCGTGTACTTTCTTGAGCTCCTCATCGGTTATGAAGAGTTCTGTGGAAGACAAAAATGACAGAGAGAGCGAGCCAAAGTGTGAGGCCAAGGAGTCCAAACGATGGTATCAGATTGAGGGGGGTGGTGAGGGGTGGTCCCATGGCATTATTAATCTAAGTCAAGGTGATGAAAAGAGATGCAGCTTCTTTGCGGAATCTAACACCAAATCCCCATCCAGTCAGGGAACTGACCACTGTCTTCCATCCGGACTTTCCATTCACCGTGGGAGTTGAGCACATATGTTTGACGGCAAGAGATGCTTAGAACGATGCAAGTCATAAACCCCAAACCATAGCTCAATCAAGAAAAGGGAAGCCACCCAGAGAATGGAGGTTTCTTGAAAGCTCCCCCTGCCCCCCCATCTCTGAACCGAAAGGCATGGTGGACAGCTATTGATGGTTAGCTTGACTAAAAGCCCTTTGGAATTCCATTCTCCCTTTTCCACCTTGCCACCGCTGACTCTGAAAATCCCAACATATATGTGTGCTTCTAACATCCTCTGAGATTGGCAGCTCAGTTGGGCCTGTGCATCGAAAGATGTCTCTGGCTGGAAGTAGCGGTGCCTTGGGAAGAGACTCCACTTTTCCGAGAGGCTAGAGAACCACGGCTACTTCTTTCTACCTTTTCTCTCCTTCTCTTCCTCTTCCTGCCTCGAACAGGACTGCTGTGTCTAGAACCACAGCAGCTCTTTTGGGACCATGAGACAAAACAACATGATGAGTGCAGGTGAGCCTGGAAAAGGAAGCGCTGTGCGTCTTTGACCGGAACCTTGGTGGCATAGCGTGTTGTTACACATGGTGCAAGGTCAGTAGCTTGGAACCACCAGACGCTCCGTGGGGAGAAAGATGAGGCTTTCTACTCCTGTAAAGAGTGGTCTTGGAAACCCACAGGGGCAGTTCTACTCAGTCCTATAGGACCATTATTAGTCAAAATCAACTTGGCGGCAGTGAATTTGTTTGTTTGTTTTTGTGTTTTATGCCCTATTTACGGCATTGTTAGCCTATTACTACTAACAGGCCACATCAATTCTGATACAGTGGTGGAAAGGGCCCAGTGGAAATTTGAAGCTTTAGATGGCCTATGAATCCGGGTTCAGATAGGACAGTAGGATTCGAAAAACAATTAATTGGGGAAGTCCTTCTTATCCTGTGACCTTGAGGTGCCACTAGAGTTGTCTCCAATTTTTGTTAACTCCTGAATTTCAGGTTGTTGGGAATGGGTTTTGGGAGACAGTTCAGGTTTGCCCCAAGGCCTTCGTCTGAATCAGCTGACTCTGACTTCATTGTGAACCAGTCCTATACCCACAGCCACGGATGCAGGCCACACTGCTTAGGGTTTCTGAGCCAGTAAATCTTTATGAAAGCAGACAGTCTCATCTTTCATCCATGGACCTGATGTCGAGTTTGAACCAGGGATTCTATAGTTAGCAGCTTAACCAATAGTTAACTCACAGTTCCACCAGGGCCCCTATCAAAACCCATTGTCATTGAGTTGATTCTGACTCACAGCGACCCCTTAGCATGACCTTATTTCAGATTTTTCTACCACCAGAAGCACCCATTGTTAAATTGAAGGTGAGTCAAGTCACACACAGTAGCACCTGCACTGTTTATCTCTTCATTAATAGGTCTAGCAAACGAAGCCATGCTGCTGTCGATTTTAATCCAGAAACGGCGAGGATGGCTCTAGGCATGGATGTAAACATGAAGTTCTTTACAGCCTATGATCAATGATGGAGGGCGGGGGAGGAAGGGGGGCAGTAGATGAAATGGCAAGAGAA